TAAGTAAAGTGATTGGCAACATGTTTCATGTTAAATTACTCAATATCTATTCCACAGTATATAATGTATATCATTAATAGAAAGCCATAATTCAATTAGATAACTTCTTCTAATTGCATAAGGTTATAATCACGTTTTATGATTCAAATACTCGATTACAGGCAGTTTACAAAAAACGCGAAACAAAAATGTTATTCGAAGCATTAGTGGTCTTAGCACCATAAGTTGTTATTGTGCACGATGAAAAACAATCACTGAAGAAATGATGGTAACATCAGCATGTATTAAAACTAGTAGTGACAAAACGTAGGTGGGGTTAGCAGCCAATTCGTGTAATTCCATCAGCGATGCTACTAAGGACAAAAATACGAGCGTGCCTAGACGAATTGCCGACATATGTACTCTGGTGATTTCATATTTGCCACAGTGAAATAACGGTATTTTGGAATTATTGAAGACATGGTTTGAGCTATAGAAGATATGGCTATACCATTGGATAGAGGTCATCGAATTGTATTTGGAACAAGAATAGGAAGTCTAGAACAGGCTCCTGCGGAGATCACCAGTAGTATCATTCGAATCGGATGCTAACTTCACCTATGTTATTCTCGTGGATTTACATTTAGACAAAACTTTTTCCGATAAAATATATCATACAGTAGAGATTTTTGAAATATCGATGTGAGTCTGTCAATAAAATGCTGTACGAAGTGATTTATTGCAGATAATTTCCGGTCATTTCTAAACATTATTTTTCGTAATAAAAGCAATACTAACTCAAGAACGTATTATTGTATGTGTTGATTCTACATTTTCGAATGCGAGATCATCTGCAATAATCAGCTCTGTTGTTCGTTACTACTTTGCTTACAGTTAGGAATTAGTTCTTTCGATTTTAAAAATAGATGTCATTTAATAAAATTCACATTCAATCTTTTTTTCAAAACAAAACTGTTGACTCTTGTTTAGATTTTTTTATTTTCTATACCAAATCGACCAGTGAGAACAAAAGACAATGAATATAGCACAAACAATTTAAAGAGAAGACAAAAACGAGAGAAAAAAAGACAGAATTGAATGCGCAAAATAACAACTATATGCAAACATTTTCGCCTGGATATTATGGATAAGGACAAGAGGGATAATAATGGGCGAAACATATACAACTGAAATAAATAACTGTAATTGTGTCATATACAATGGTATGGTAGTCAATGTTTATCTTTATACATCTTCATTATATTCCCTAGAACAAAAAAGAAAAATGAAATTTGTTAAAATTTTATATTGAAAACAATAAATAAATACTAACCAATAATCACATTCATATCCTTCAGCAACATGATCTAATAATACTTTTTGACGTGTAATACAATAACGATATTTATCTTGTATTTTTTGTTTCATTTCTGTTAAACTTCCATTTGTTCGTGAAAAATCT